ATAATCAGCTCGATAACTGTCTCAGTAACTACTATTCTGGATGACCATAATATCTCACATATTAGGATCCTGGGCGACTCGAAGGTTTGAGCGAAAACGAGGTTATCGTGCTGAGCGACAGTGAGGCACTCCATTCGTCCAAACTTTGGGCATCATGCGGGCTTGGGCGACGATGTTACTGTGTTCGTGGGCTCCTTCTACACTTACCAATAACCTCATTTGGGCCTTTGTCCTGGGCTTCCAATTGGGGTTCACTCTTTAGGCTATCCAATTTGGACTGTATTTTTAGTGTGTCAACAATGATTTCTGGAAAAATAGAGGGAATGGATTATCTTGTGGATGAAAGGAAGAATGCTCAGTTCGATTGGATGCTATAAAGATGTATGGGTTGGTTCTCGCCACGCCTTTGAAGTTTCTGATCGAAAAAAAAGAAAGGAAATTTTCTCTTGGTCTTGAAAAGAGGGAACTTCCAATTCCAGGATTTATTCTTGATGATCACGGGCTTCTTCGTAACACTGTATATATCAACAATGGATCTATATTTCTTCTATCTTCTGGGGTACATCTTCAGTTCTCTAATAAAGATGGGTGAAATTTCATTAGAATCTGCTACGCCTTCCTCTCGGTGTCGCTCCACCGATTTGGTGGCGATGCCGCCTTGGTTTTCTTTGCTGTAGTCGGAATCGCTGCTAAGTTGAATAAGTTGCATGGCCACATCCAATTCCGTGTTGGAGAGCATTTGGGTTTTCCTGCTCTTTCTTGCAGATGGAGGTTTACTATTTTAACCTTGTAAAATTAGTCAAAATTATGGTTAAGATCAATTGGTCGGTCAACTATCGATCAAACTAACAGTTTCTGCTAAATTGGACTCCGGCTACAAGTTTTTGAATTGTTTAATATCGTGGTTGGCACAAATGAAATGTTTGGACAAAGTATTCCACTAAATGAAAGATTTGGCGCCACTTCTACAATTATCATTTTAAAAGCTGTAGATCCGTCAAATAGATGATTAACCCGGCCCTAGATGTAAATCTCAAGTCTTCCCATCACCACTTTCAACCCAAGAAAAAGACCCGTTACACGTTCCATCCTTGTATATATTTAAAACTCATAACGGCTAGTTTTTAATATTTCTTTTATTCACTTTTCTTTACACGAAAGCCCCCAGTCCCCTTTTTCCAATTCTCCCCGTCGGCCTTCGAATTCCATCTATACAAATTATTTATCATTAATCTTTGTCGGATTGGATTAATCTCCTCTTCGGACGAAGTTGAAGAGAAATGACAGAATCGACGGCCGCATGTGTAGCCGATGCATCGGCGGAAGTTGGAGTTCCACCGCTACCCCAGCGGCGGCCGAGGGTGCGGGAAGTCAGTTCGCGATTCATGTCACCTTTGGTTCAATCCAACGCAACCCCAACTCCTGCACCTTCTGAAAATCCGCGATCCAAATCCGTCCACCGCAGGCAATCATCACGCGACGAGAATCAAGTACCGGAAACCACTTGTAGCTTAGACACCCCGCTCGTTCCACCCCACACTGTTTCCCACAATAAATCTTTAGGAACAAATAGTGTATCTACTGTTCAGAAGAAACAGCAGCAACTGCGGTTGAGGCATTTTAAGGAAAATGGGGAACAAAATCAACAGCAGCAGGCGGCTTCGGGTGTTAGGGTTTCTTCGAGGCCGGACACTCCGATTGCGATTGGTACCGATCGGATTGTCCCGTCGCGGTACAGGCAAACTCCGCATAGTGTAAATCGTGGCAATCAGATGAATAGTAGCAATGGATGCTCGGCTGTTACGGCTGCCACAAGGCTATTGCAAGAAGCGACTTCTGGTAACAATTACAGAGAAACTGTGGACAAAAAGCTTTCTAGAATTTCGACATCTAGATATGATGATTCGGATTCTTGCAGTACTGCTAGTAGTCAGGGTAGTTCTTCGTGCCCCAATTCTCCTCTGTTTTTGCAGACTACCAAGGCCCGGAATCTTCCTGAGATGCGCTCTTCTGTGCCAGATGTCGATAAATGGCTTGCTGAGAGGAATTCTTGCAATGTAGGTAGAGCCTCTAGTGATTGTGCTCGTTCATTGAATTTTTCATCGTCTGTAAAGATGGGCGGAAGTCTTTGCCTGCCTCCACATCCATCATCGTGTGTGAGACTGGGAGTTGATGCGAGGAAAGGAAGGAAGGTCTCTAATCATCAAGAAGATGTACATTCTCTCAAGATGCTTTGCAACCATTATCTGCAGTGGCGATTCATGAATGCAAAAGCAGAGGCTACTGTTAATGTTCAAAAAAGGGAAGCTGAGGTTTGTTTCCATTGTTTGAAATTTTAGGATATCCGTATGACAATTCTGATTATTCCCTCATTTCAGTCTCACATCCATCTTTTCCCTTCTTCAAATTGTCACTTTAATTTACAAAATGGATAAAGGACTTGCTCATTATAAGTCTATGATTGAATTATTAATCATGTTATTTCATTTGTGTGCAGATAAAACTTTATTCTCTGGGAAGAAAGATATCCGATTTACGTGATGAAGTGAAAAAGAAGCGCTGTGAACTTGGGATACTGCAAGGAATTAAGACTTTATCCATGATTGTTGAAGCGCAAGTAAGGCTTGATCGCGCTTTGAGTTTATTGCTATCTTATGTTGTGACTTTTATGTCAAAAGGCATATCAAATTTTGTCTGGTCACAGTTGTATTTATTGAAATGAAATATTTTATACATACATGTTTCTATTCTAGATGGCAGACATGAAGTTCACTTTCAAGAGCTTTCCTTTTACTACTAAATTCTAGATCAACTTTCAATTATATGTACAAACATTACTGACTTTGTACTTGGGAAGACCTTCTCACAATACCTTAATGAGCCACGTCATTTGCATTTGGAAGATGGATTGTTAGTCATTCATCAATTGATTATCCAATGTGTCAAAGAACATGATTGATATTCTTTTTTATTCACTCCCATTATTTTGCCGCTGTTTCTGCCAATAATCAGACATTACAGTTATCAATTGTTTTCTGGAAAATGAATTCTTTATTAAGACGAGTTATAAAATGGTTAAGAAACTTAAAGAAAAAACTGAGAAGTCATTTTTGTTACATTTTTTATCTTCTTAATGGTTTTTACACCTATAGAAGTGCAAGTTCAGACATTTGGAGAACTTTTTGTTGCTCATACAATCTTATTATTTTGGCTGTGGTGCTCACATACTTTTCATATATTAGGTGCCATATCTGGATGAGTGGTCTGCTTTGGAAGAGGACTACTCAACTTCTTTATCAGGCATATCTAATGCTTTGCTCAATTCCTCACTAAGAGTTCCGGTCAGTGGGGAAGTCCAGGTGAGATTTATTCTGCTAATTAAAATTGCATAAATTTCCATCTATATTTGCTATGTCATGTAGGGAACTGTGAACCATGGGGAACCTTTTCCAGGTTAAAGTGAAAGACTTGCAAGAGGCTTTTAACTCAGCTGTAAAGGTGATGGAACTGATAGGTTCCCATGTCCAGAGATTTATGCCAAAGGTAAGACAAAATGCCATGCATCCATCCCCTTATAAATTGCCGTACACGTTAAAACACACTATAGAATGCCTTAATTGTGGAGGAAATCTTACTGCATAGAATATTTTTGAATTCTTTTTCTGTTCATTGTTGGCCTACCGGGCCGGTAAATTTGACAAAAGTCATACAAAATTGAAGTGTGCATATAGCGTTTATAAACAATATAAATGCATGCCTGTTTAAGTGCAGGCTGAAGAGGTGGATACCTCAATTTCTGAACTAGCTCGGGTGGTTAGTGTAGAAAGAGCCCTTATTGAGGAATGTGGGGACTTACTATCCAAGGATTATACAACACAGGTTTGTCTATCTATGATTCAACAAATAACACATTATTAGGGAACTTCACCCTCTCTTGACAGTATAAAACAAATTGTCATCCATTTCCTCTAAATATTGTTTACTCTTTCATGTTACTTCTTTGACATCGAAGTTCTTTTTCAAAATAAACGAAATTGATGAATATAACGTCAAAAGAAAACAAAGAAGGGAACTGCTGCAGAATGTTATGATCACCGTCTCACAAAAATATGACCTTTAAATTATTGTTCAATATTTTCAGGTGAAAGAGTGCAGCCTAAGGGGGGCTCTGATCCAATTACACGGGAGTAATAATTGTCAAGCGCAGCACGAGTGAAGCATAGAGGAATTTAATCAACTCATTGAGCTCTCAGCATCAAGAGTTCTAATTGAGTTTTTTTCCTTTTTCCTTTTCTACGTACACTTTTCTTTTAGTAATGGAAGAAATAAATGATTTTCTTTTATCAGTTACCCTACCATGGCTTTTGAGTTTCTCTTGATTCTGCGCAAATTCTGCTAGCAAGTTCTAAATGATTCCTTTTCTACGTACACTCCCCGAAAAATGTCTTGATTAATAAATCGACTATGCTTTCGTGCCCTTTTGGCATGAAAATTTCTTTTATGACAGCTATTGTATCAGAATTTGACAAATGGGGATGCAGACTAGGGAATACATAATAGGTGGAATTTTCTTCCGTTGTCTAAAATGCATGAGACCTAAATTTTCGTACCCGTCTAAAATGAATAACTCGCGCTCACAAATTTAAGAAAAAAATGGGACTATGCATGGCTGAATTATAGACCTCAAATATTAGCGATTCTTTCTTGCTTTGCTCAGTCACTCTCTCCACAAGATGCCATAAATTGTTCTTTCTGTTTTCCTACATTTTTTGGGAAGACAACAAAATTAACAAAATTTGTACTAGGATTGACGCGACAAGTTTTGACAAATTTTTACATGAAAAAGGCTAAATATACAGCATTTTTACACATTAAGTTTGATAGTCGTCTCACATGGGTGCGGGGTCCGCGATTGTGACCCCACCCCATGTGAGAGGACTGTCAAAATGTATGTGTAAAAAGACTGTAAGTGTAGCATTTCTCTTTTTACATTGTCAACCTACTATAACCTTCGTCCTCTACCGGACTTGGAAATGACATATTCATTTTGAAATCCTTCTTGTTGGAGGATGAATCCTAAGTTTGATTCTCAATAATTGCAGAAGTGAATCTTCCCATACCTAAACCAGTGATGTGAAAGAATGTAATGGGCCCTTAATTTAGACATTGTGGAGGACAAATCACTGGGGTTTTCGTGTAGTTCAAGGCATGTAAAGAGAACCTCACAAGTCAATTTGAAATGTTCCCCTTAGGTTGTTGTCCGTGTAGCAGAAGAGAATCTATCTATATCTTAACCAACGAATTATTTTTATTTTTATTTATTTATTTATTTTTATGGTGAAATTAACACAGGGGTCCCTAATTTGGATTAATAGATGACAAATCACTTCAATCCGCCAGTTGTCGTCATTAAGGCTTGTAAGGAGAACCTTACGGGTCAATTCGAAACTTCATGGACGACATTGATGTTAATCATGCTGCACTCTTATCGCAAGAGATCAACTGAGATTTTAATAAATTTTAAAAGATTATAAATTTAGATGAATTTCTTCAATTCAAATAGATTTTCATAAAATCCATAAGAATTTCATTAAGCAACATTTTAATTGAGATTTTAATGGATTTTTATTAAAATTCATTAAAATCTAGGTATCCTAAATAACTCGTGAATTTATGGTGAGATTTCAAAAGAGTTTGCTACATGTCTTTTTTAAGTTTAAAATCCTAAATCCTGTTATACAAATATTTTGAAATTACTTCATTATTAAAATTTTTATAAATTCATGAGTTATTGAAGATTCCTAAATTTTAAAGATTTTCATTGTAGTTCTTTAAAATCAGAAGCATATGCAATACTTCGTCCTAATTAATTTGTTCATTTAGATTGCATTCGGGTGGAATAATGATAAAGAAAGTGGAAAGGAGAAAAAAATTTACAAAAAAGGGGATTCCTGAAAAATGATGATCTTGGGTATGTTGGGGGACTGACTCCTAAGGCCGATCCCTTTACTTTTGCTACAACTGTTGTAATTGATTCTAAGGCTGTTNACATTAGCGGCGCATAAACTATGTTCGTCAACCAAGTTTGTTCAGTGGTCGTAAGCTAATTAGTTAGTGGGGAAAAACCGGGCCGGGATTCAAAAGAATTAGGCGAAGTCTTTCTTCCTGAACGACGGAAGTTACTACTTGACTTTCTTATACTAGCTATTTGAAGATCTACCTTATCTTGTCTTGCTTATTTAAGCAAAAGGCGATCCACTATTGGTTGTAGTCTTCTTGATATATCAAGTCAAGAGGGCTAGGCTCCTAGCAATGGGAGGAAAGGGGAGGCTCCTCGTGGAGCAGATCCCGCATCCAACCAAATCTTTGACCAGGGAACGAGAGAATTCCCTCTACCGCTGGCATTTTGGATAGTAGGAACGGGGGAATGACTACTTGTAATAAAGCACAGGCTAATACGAGCCGACCAGTAGAAGCAAGGCTTAGATTATCATAATGTAGTTAAGATATATTAAAATCTCAATTGAGTACATCATGTTAATATTCCTATTACTATCTATATAAAGGGTTTTTGGACAATGGATTTTGGGAGTGATTTGCTCAACTAGTACGTTCAAAGGCTGAAAATAAGAGAACTTTCAAGGAGTTCGAAGCAATGGGAATGCTTTTTCCTCTGTTTTTCACCCTTTTGCTTGCAAGTACATCTTCAATTAGAGTAGCTCAAGGCATGTTCTGTTTTCTATGATTATCAGCTTACGACAAGTTTACAACACATGTTTTTATATCGATGCTTTCTCTGAACATTTTTTATCTACTCTCTTCTGTGCAGAAGTCGATGGCCAACATCTCAAATATCCAGCTTTACACTTGCCTTTGTTTCATATGCAAGGAAGGCACTCACTTGAGAATTCTGAGCCTCACCTGTCCTTTTCTGAGGCACTTGCAATGGACGAAGCTCGTGTTAAATCTCTCAATTCCAAGCTCATAAAGAATAACCAGACAGCAGCTCGAGAATCAGGACATTTAGTTGATCCAGTAGCTGTTACAATTCCTCTAAATCCTGGTGTGCCCATTGGCGTGTTAAATTACTACACGAAAGTAGGCTTGGGGACACCACCAAGTTTCTATCCCGTGGTTATTGACACGGGTAGCTCCATCTCCTGGATCCAATGTGAGCCCTGCGAGGTGTATTGCCACCCACAGGTCGGACCCCATTTTGATCCCTCGAGTTCTACAACGTATAAATCCCTATCATGTGACACAAGCCAATGTTCTTCCCTCAAAGATGCAACTCTCAACAGTCCCCAATGTTCTTCTTCCAATGTATGCATATACGAAGCCAGCTATGGAGATAAATCTTATTCTGAAGGGTACCTTAGTCAAGATTCACTAACCCTCAAAGCATCATCGGGGCCAACACTAGCTGATTTTGTATTCGGATGTGGACAGAACAACGATGGCCTATTCGGTCAATCAGCAGGTCTGTTTGGCCTAGCACGAAATGAACTGTCTATGTTTTACCAATTGTCCACCAAATATGGAAAGGCCTTCTCTTATTGTCTCCCAACAACCGATAGCCAAACTGGCAGCGGAGGGTTTCTATCCATTGGGACTACTTCTTCAACAACTTATAAGTTCACTCCAATATTAACAGATTCTCGGATGCCTAGCTTGTACTTTCTTAAGCTATCTGCAATCACAGTATCTGGCAAGACACTTAACGTGCCATCTTCGGAGTACAATGTGCCAACCATCATCGACTCGGGCACAGTCATATCACGTCTGGCTGTGTCCATATACACAGCACTGAGGGAGGAGATGGTGCAGATCATATCTTCCAAATATCAGATGACAGAAGCCTATTCCCTTTTTGATGCCTGTTTCAAAGGAAGTTTGGAGTCTATGTCAGCAATTGTGCCTCTGGTTCAGTTAACTTTTCCAACAGGTGGTGAGCTTAATCTTGCCCCCCACAACGTGCTTATAGAAGTTTCTGAGGGCACCACTTGTTTGGCCTTCGCAAGTAATTCCGATAACATAGCCATTATTGGGAATCATCAACAGCAAACCTTTGAAATTCTTTATGATATTTCCAATTCAAGAATTGGGTTTGCAGCCGGTGGCTGCAGCTAGTCGGTACCACTCAGTCCCTTTACCATGGCACTGCTACTTGTGCATAAAGGGTGACCTTCTATTGGGCTGCATAATTTGGGCTTAAAAATAATAGATATTGATGTATAAACGTAGATATTGATGTAACAAAAGCCAATTTAAGGGTGAAAATTGCTTCATCTTTACATAATCATAATCTACACACTTCCAAACCGAAGTAGATAAAAACCTAAAGCAAACAACGTTTTGAAAATTAACATTTATTCATCTAAATATTCGATTTCACTACCTATAATAAAATTCAGTACTTTTTCCCAAGCAGATATAAATTATTCGACATTCACTTTTGCAGCAAGGTGTTCCGAATATGAAAAAACGCCAATAACAGGCAATCTGTTCTCACTAAATCCAGAAAAAGCCCATATACACGTGATGCCATCAAGAAAATGGTACGTCCACGGCCATGTTTTCCCTTGGAGGTAGACAACTGTTCATCGATGGCCTCAATCGGGAAAGCACCACAGCTGCTTAAATCACTTCTCTGCTACACTAGTCAGCATTATTTGACAACACGAGTTGATACCAAACCAATCCATGATCCTGCCCCCTTTCTTGAATATGCAAAGCGAATCCATGTAAATCGATGCAGAAGTTTCTTATCCAAGAATGGGCATGCATGTCTAAAATTATCACATTAGACAATCCATATACGAATAATTCCGGCAACGGTTGTACTGAAGAAGGCTACCATAAGTGCGATCCCACACCCCAATGAAGAGGGATTCTGTATCAGGACTGAAAGAGATTCCGGAGATCTCGCCAAAAAAATCAATCTCCTGTTCTTTCTCGTAACCATTCTTCACATCATAGACGTGGACAAAATCGGCTGGTTCGGCCATCGCCATGAATTGCCCATCAGATGTAAAACGGATTGATCGAATGGCTCCCAGATTTCCTTTGAGTACAGCGACAGACTTTGACAAGTTTCGAGCATCCCATACACGGCAAGTCTTGTCTTGGTTCCCAGTGGCAAATAAGTAACCATCCGGATGCCATGCAGAAGCAAAAGAAAAATCCAAGTGTCCGTGTAGAGGCATGACAGTCTAAATCAAATCACAACGTAGCAAAAAAATACCTTAATAATTTGGTCCGTAAAATCTATATCAGTTCCATTCCACTGCCAACGTACAAAATCTAGAAACTAGATATAAAAGAACACATTACCTTCCCAGTTTGAGAATCCACTAGCATCCCATCAGGATTGTCGCCAACAATAATAATGAGTTTACCATCCGGGCTCAAAGAGGTGTGCTGTAACAAAGAAAAGGTGCCTTAATATACACCTTACTTTAATGAACATAAAAAATCAACATAAAATTGCCAATCATTTTTTTATATATAAAGCATATTAGTTCGAACATGCTAGGAGCACTTTGCCACTACGTGTGTTGTGGTTCAATATTAATCATTTCTAAATGAGCACGTTAATAAGCCATTAAATACTACAGTTTAGCTCAAGCAGTACACTGTTGGTCAAAGCTCAAACCCTTGGTAGTGCGGAGAACGTTTACAGACTGTATGGAGAACATGTTTGAAGTTTATTCCTATTACCGTGCCCATAGGAACAAAACTTACATTTACAGGCCAAGGATAAGAGAAGTGCTTAACAAGGTGAAATCTCTCCATGTCAAAGTCTCGAACTCCGCAGTCATTATTTGAAGCCGTGAAATGAACAGCACCGCTGGTGGTGGTTTAAATGTATCAAGAACCAGAATAAGTAACAAAGTCAGTATATCTCAAAAATCCCCAAAGTGTAGACAGGGAGTTTAATTTGGTATTGTAAAGAAGAATGCAGATCACCTTGGACTGTTATAGATATCAATCGCGTTGGTAATTGCGTTATCCTCATAAGTTGTCCTGGTACAAAAGCTCACCCCAGGCCGGTCTAGATCCTGCATCAACATGAAAAAGTACTTCAGTCAGTGCACAATGAATATCTTCACCATTTCCAGCTGGGTTACTTCTAATTGTCTCATACTTGACACGCTACAGCACAACCACTAAACAGAATAACTGTCTTTTGAACAAGAGAAGAAAAGAGAAACAACATAGCTGAAAACAAGTTGTTTCTTGGGAAGTTTTAAACAGAAATGGACCTATTGGCAATCGGAAACAGCAAGTTCTCTAATGCAGGTACAAAGAGAAATGCCTTCCGGCATGTGTTATATATAAATCAAAAGAATGAACTACCTTGCATATAAGCTCTCCCTGGAATCCCCCAGCAATCAATAAATTGTCACGCACTGCTAGAGTACTAATTTGAGTCTGAGTAAATCCTTCCAGTAAACTTCCAGGATGTTTCTACAAGACACAGAAATTACGTCCAATGTTTAAAATTCCAGACATCATAATTACCAGAAAGGAAACATCAAAATCATGGACAAGAATTTTCTGAAACCCAATCCTAGCAAGAAATTTGCACCTCGCGTGGAGCGACATGCCCAGAAACATTAAGAACTTCAGTCTTCTTGGATGTCAATGAAGACCAATGCGTTATTACATAATGTGACACGAGGTAAACATCATGCTTTGACGTAGACCAAACTAAGTTCCTCAACTGCAATGTGAAACAATAGGGTTGATGAGAAAGAATGCAATCCAAATAACCAAAAAAGATGATGTCAGATATGTTAGGAAGTATCATATATACTTGCTCAAGAGATAAAAATAAACATTTGCACTGGCATACAAATCAGACTGAAGCCTAAACCTCCCTAAATAATGTCTAAAATCCACAAGACTCTTCATTATCTCGTACAAAGTTGCACAAGATAATGAAGTTCTGAATGGGTTTTGTACAGTATGGGGAGGTGTGACAACGTGAAATTCTAACTTGACTTACTATGAGAAGCTCCTAGTTAAAACAATGAGATCTTCTCCAGATTATATTTTCCATCAAACACACAATTCTCATATCTCATAACTTAAAATGTTTCGTCAGATTATAGCAGATCCATTCTTTCTGCGCTGTGCCATAATACACAATCACAGATATACACCTCTTTGGGTCTTATACATACACATAACCAAAGCTCAAGGAAATAAATCTAAAATTGCATGAACACAGGCTGATATGCTACTATATCTCCAACATTACAAGCAAGAGTATGAAATTTAACAGTTCAATTTGAAGCATTTGAAAGTATCCAAAGAAAATCTTAAAGATAACATATGATTTACTTGAAAATGAAGGATGGTTGATTTCACGGATCTCGTGTTCTGTCGGAACTCATAGTACGCTCCACCTTTCCTCGTTGGCTTGCATTCCTGAAAAATCCAATGCAAAGGAATAAATTAAAAACCATCCATAATCTGGAATCAAATTTATCAACTTCACAGTTCGAGTTGAAATTGAAAGTTACCTTCAGTGAACCCTCTCCAGATAGGGGTATATTCTCATAATTCTTATACTGCTCTAGTCTAGTCTGCCTATACTTTTCGCGGGAAATGCTTAGTCTGTCCCACGGAATTCCTTGAATATCTTTTCCTCTCCTTGCCTCGGAAGCACAAGTGTCCGTTATCTTGTTGTCCTAATTCCATAATTCAGTTAAATCATCTCACCGATAGCAAAAACCATACGGCAAAAACTTACAAATAACAATGTCCACAGTTAAGTAATGTTCGTGCATTTAAATGTTACAGGAGTATGTATTTATGCATAGATTAAACAGACCAAATTTTCATATTCATCCTCATCGTCTTCATCAGACTCTGAGTCTCCCATCATCCGACCAGCAAAATACATATCCTCCTCAACTTCCTCCATTTCATAATCACCATCAGCATACTCCATTTCTTCCTCTTGACAGGACACTTATTTACTTCAACTCACTGACTGGTAGCTGCACCAAAAGCAATATAACCAAACATCATTACCAAAGTGAGACCCTGTGATTTGATTATAGAACCAACACATACATAAATTGAGGAAAGAAAAATGAAACTTCGATATTTGAATTACAATTTCTTTCGAGTCCCATACATATAACACAAGAAATTAAGACGCTTATCAAGATATCCATTTTATTTGGCATTATTAAAAGATACAAAATGTTAAAAAACATAGTAAATTCGAATTTTAAAGGACAAAAATAAAGATATTTTTAAGCCCAAAATATAGCCCACCCCATAGAAGTAAAAAAGGAAAACGAATTATTACATATAAACAGAACAAACCCTTGGCCGACAGAGGTCAACATACAAAAAAACGCATAGGACGTGAATTATAAAAAAGAAAATAACAAAACAAAACAAAATTTCAAGTGAAAAAGATGAGAACTTTGATGCTGACCTTAGAATTTCAACAGCCCCGTTTTTTTTAAAAAAAAAAAATCCAATAAAAAATGAATTCTTGCAAATGATAGGATAGCGATGTCGAAATCGTGAGAATCCAACCGAACAGATCTCTGATTTCCGGTTAAATTTTATACCGGCGATCTGTTCCGAAATATCTCAGTTCTACAAGGGCTGAAATTGGATCTATACGAGTCCAAAGGGGGGTTTTTTCTTTAATTTGATTTTAGTAAATTATTTATTGAGAAGCTAATAAATAAATAATTGGTCTAATTTGTGTCCATCTCCGTACAGATGCATGGAATATTTTCTCCTGTTTTGATGTGATTTTACTATTTTACTTTTCTCGTAAGTGAAGTGGGGTGGGGTGGGGTGGGGTGGGGGTTAACACAAGATCTAAGGCCATGTTTGAAATGCTTAATTTTCTAGGGAAAATATTTTCCATTTTTCAACTTAATGGATGTTTGATAGCCAAGATTTTGCAAGGAAAATGTTTTCCTTTTTACTCCCTCACGCGCCACTTTTCTACATTTTCAAGGAATTGGTTTTCCTTTGGTTTGTGTGGAAATTCATTTTCCGATTTTTTTTTTATTTGCAATTGGAAAAAATTCTAGACACAATGGTAAAATTTTTTATCACTTTTATTGACAATTTCCATGCAAAACAAGGCCAAACGAATGGTATTCGGTATGATTATTTTTTTTTTCAATTTTTGACAATTGGAACAAATTCTAGACCCAATGGTAGAAAATATTATCACTTTAATGGACAATTTCCATAAAAAAGAAGCCAAATGGACATCAAACTTTCAACATTTTCCATGAAAAATTATACAAATCAAACATAATTAATTACAATTTTCAGTAAAACAATTTCTAGGCAAATCAATTCCCTATAAAACATTTTTTTCCACCTATTTTCCACATTTGCAATCAATCGGACCCTAAATTTGACGTTGTTAATATATTCATTATTCGTTATTTTGTATGTTATTATCAGGACCTAACTTGTTGCTCGGGTTTTTGTGAGTGGTGAAAATTAACTCTAAAAATAAAATAGTCACATGCTTGTGAATACAAAGAAATTCTATTGGCTATAGTCATGATATGTACATTCAATATGGTCAACACGACACTCGTCTTATATTTTGATTTAGTTTTCTTACGAGAAAGATCATATTCTGTCCAATTTCGTGATCTTGTCTTGAACCTCTCATATTATAATCGACGCTATCATAAAGAGTATTGACACTAAACTTTTGTGTTTATTTCAATTAGATGATCTTCAGTTTATCGTTATTAACTCACTCAATTTATACTTGAATTGATGCCCCTGTTTGTCGTCCATTTTATCAAATATTGTTTCCTACAGTAAACAATATCCACCATATTCACTCAATAAAATATTCTACACACAAACCAATAGAATTACTTTGCTTTTCAATCACACATTCTTCAAAAAATACTATTCAAAACTATATTTCTTCTCTCAAAATGGGAGACAAACAAACACTATATACTTGTTCAACATTTCACCATTACAATTTCATTGTTATGTCGATCATCTCTCCCACATTTTTTTTTCTTTTTTCTTTTTATTTTTTTGAATTGAGCCCCTGTTTGGGCTCCATTTCCATCAAAATGTATTGTCTCCTTTCTTTTCAACCACACATTCTCCAATAAATAATATTACAAGTAAATTCAAAATACATTTTTTCCTAAAATTTGATTTTAATGGAACCCAAACAAGGCCCAACATATCCAACACAGTGCATTAAGTTCTGAAATAGAACCCAAGACATAAATTTCCAACTGCAATCCACCCAGATGCATCAAACTGCCAGATTTTTAGTGTCAAATATCAGGACTATAGCCACTTAATCCTAACAATTACAATGGAAGAGTTCAAGCAAATCCAGAAAAACCTACTATATTATCATATCTAAGCACTGGTACACTTCACGATCTATGAAACGACGTGTATTTCAGAAACTATAAGTAGACCAGAAATGCAACATGCACTGCAATGAATTATATATTGCTACCTGAAACTTTTCCCAACAGTTCATTGGCAACCGAAATTCCTGATGAATGATCAAACTGTTCTCCTGTCAGGAAAACTGAATGTGGCTGCTGGAAACTTGGACTCAAGCTCGACTCGAATATTGAATGTGAAAGCGCCATTTCTTGTTTACTGAATGCTGCATCTGTGTTCAGTCTTTGCTTTTTTCCAGGTCTATCACGAGGGCTATCAATTGATGAGTTCACATGACAACCAGAATCTGGTGTCAGAGGCTCCTGATGAGAGGAGAAAGATTCGTCTAGCGAAAGGCTCTTTGCTATTGCACGTTCTTTGGCAGGCCTGTCCAGATGGGGAGACTCGGATGTTGGAGCAGGGGTTGCCGGGTGACTTTTGTTATCTGATTCTGGGCAAGTATCCTCTGCTACAGGAGCTGAGACCCCAGAACCAGGCACTTCTGGAAGAGCTCCATTTCGTCGTTGTTGTTCTTCAATTATCTTCTTTAAATACTTCCCTTGGGCTTCTATCCTTAACTGTAGTTGTCTTTGAACCTGTGGTTCATCAATATAGTCTCAAGACCCAATATTCGAGTTATTTTCAGTTGAATTAGTAATCCAAAGATTTTTAGGATTTTGTATCTCTTCTATTTGTGCTTTCCCCGGGGAGAAAGAATGACAACAAAGATTCATGGAACCATCTATATCTTATTGTTTCTAGCAAGTAGAAAATGAAGAAAACTGGGTCTCGGAAAAAAAAAATGAAGTGAATATTCTCATGCCATTTCTGAATTTTGGAGAGAGATCAGTGGGATGCAACTTTCTCACCCGACCCATTATTTCATATCAATTTGGTGATATACATTTTATTGCAATAGTACGCCAATTCCTCTATAATTCAACAGCCACCACAGAAACATGAAGTCTCTTAAAACCTGCTCTCCTAAGAGATGAACTTATTCCAACACAGCAAAGCCGTTTAATGCCAGGAGAAATCTGGCGATAAATTTAAATCACCACTGTCTGGAATGTTTGCATGGATTCCTCGTAAGGTGGAGAAAGAATGCAATGTGGATTATCAAACTTTTCTATGAATTTTTCATGATTAAATATAGCAAAACTTTCCTACTTTGTTAAGTCAAATAGACGTGTTTAAAGCATGGAGTCATATTTTCGCGTCCAATACAAATGCATCAAGTATGTCAACCTGCCATATATCAATTGATCCTGGAACAAGTAATTGATATATCAAGAAACTTGCATGTGGAAAGCAGCGGAAAATAGTCCCCAGGGAGAAGGGGTCAGAAGTGTACCTCCAGTTGTTCATGCAGACGCTTTTGGACCTCCATTTGCAGTTTAAGTGCTTCATTGATTTGCATTCCGCTGCAAACAAAATGAAAGAGTATTGTCTCATATTGAAAGGCTCACTCATATGAATCCATGAAATGATCATAAAAAGTAAATGATTAATAAAAAGAGAAAGTAATTTACTCACGATGAATCGTCCAAACTGGAAAGCATATCTCCAGATTCCTTCTTTTCAGCTTTTCCCCCTTCATAAAATTCAAAATGAAATGTGTTCAAGGAGCTTTTACTAAAAAGATATCCTTGAAATTTCAGCATGTTTTGAAAAATTCAAGCAAGGTAATAATACTGTAATATCTGCATCATTTATGAAGTACATACCATCAGATGAAGAATCTGGAAGATACTTGGCAAGTCGATATTTCTGTGTGAAACAGTCAGCCATGTTACCAAGCAGACAAAATAGGCTGGCATTTTGAAAGGAATATCCTGGAATAAATACCTGTAAATGGCTTTTGACATGATAAATTGTTAGCCCCTGAACCCCCATAACTCTGAGAACGCCTTTTGGAGTTGCACCTGAAATTGGAAAGTAAAATCTTACAACTTTCCCATGGCGATGCATGAATAAATGAAGAGAAAATGAATTGCCCAGCTGAAGCTCAAAAATCCACCCACTAATATATTAGTAAGAGCATGACACGAGTTCATTACAAATATTTGAAAGTCAATATGAAAGCCAACGTATAAAACTTAAGCTACAATGACACTTTGTCTGTCTTTCATCTATCAGGGGAGCTTGGGGGAGTTGGCTACATGAAAGTCAAGATGACTCACGATCTGGTCCACCAAGTTGCGCTACAGCATCAACAAACCGTTCATGAAGCTCATGTGTCCAACGAAGCCGCTGCTTAGAGGCCAGATTAGGATTGTTGTTTGCATTGTTACCTGAACTGATGGGATCCATTGTGCTGGCACCACAGTCTAATGGCTGACTGCGAACTAATGGATTGCTATGGACTAAGCTTGAGGTAGGAACACCCTTGGGATGATACATATTTCATTAATCTGTAGACAGGATTCCAGAAGTCGTAAACATAAAAATATACTACCCTGGAAAATTTGGATATCCATAAAAAAGAGTAATGAAGGGTTGTGACAGAGAAATAAAACCTTAGGAATACAAGAGGGGGTGGCTTCAAACCACATAATAAGAATCAGTTTGGTGGTCATGATAATTAGACACCACGCTAACGGCTGAACCATCGTTTTCATTAACTAAGAAAGTATGTGGTGATGGTGCAGGGTCAAAGCGAGTGTATAGCAAGTAGCCACTCTATGTCTATTGAACCCAGATATTATTTGATATTATCTACAATTGCCCATCTTTAGTGTAAAAATGAAGTGCAAAAGAATTGGTGCCCTGAAGCAATATTCACATTCCACAGGATGCTTTAAATTTGTACAAAATCATGACTTCTGACACGTCTTTCTCGCAAAATAGAGAATATTTGAAGCTTTGTACGAAATGCACTAAAAGTGAAGATGCTTAAATAGTTCCTGTCAGTTGTGAGCTTCAATAGTATCTCCTGTCACTTCTGAAAAAAGTAAGATGAAGGTTCCTATTTCCTGTACTGAGCGGGATATAGGTGAACTACATATCAACCACAAGAAACCATCAACTATCAATTTTAAAACAAAAATGAATACAAATCAGATTCTCTTTAAAATCTTTTCATTTAACCATGTAGTGCTCCAAGATTACTGCCTATAGCAGGTGCTTCGCATACAGGCAGGTTTTAAGTTTCAAATTTATAAGATCAGCAAGAGAGTAGTCAGGTTGTACTACACAGAATTGATTATGTTACTAAGATCTTCACTCATCAAAATGAACACATACACAGATACAGAACCAGGTATACAATAATTCGTACCGAGAAAGGTGAGCAGAATTATAAATTTCATCCTTTAGACTCTCCAGAAAATTACACAATAAAGACATCAAATATACACATCCCCGTGTGTGTATTGCAATTTAGCCCATAGTCAGTAAACTGAAACGAGAAAAAAAAAATCAAAATTTTATGAATAATAAGACATAAAGACATAGTAAAATTCGTCACTAGATTACAGAATCACTCGTTCAAACAAGATTTTAAAAATTAACCACCTATAAATTCACACGACAGGCGTTCCAGAGATAATAAATAAACTAATCACTTATTTTTGAAAAATTAATTTGCACGAATTAAAAGTTTGAAACTCAAATAAGAGTTGACCAACTCCCAAAAGCACAAAGAAAAAATTATTCCTAAAAATTGTGAGCAAATTAGTATATTAAAAAAAAAAAGAGAGAGAGAAAAGAAAAACTGTACCCAGATCTATGAAATTCTAGCCGCAATCCTCCGAATGAATCCTCGAGCTTGCTTTAAACACTAATGATAATCCAGCCTAAACTAAACTAAAAACTATTACCTTTTTTCCAAAGCTAGACAAAACCCTCTAAGTTAAAAGCTACATATTAAATTAAATTGGGTTTGAGTACACAAAGTTTCGGGAAGAAAAGAGGGCTGAGAGCGAAAAATTCATTTGTTCATTGGTTTGGTGTGTGTATGTGTAAGTGATGGGCAGTCAAACAAGGGAAGAGCAAACGCCATTTATAACGATGAAATGTCAGTGACATGGTCAATTCTTTCACACGTTGTTCCGTAAAAATTGAACCGTTCAATCTCACTATTTCAGATAAATTATTACATCATTGACGTTTCATATCATCATGACGATAAATAACACGATCCTATAATCTTTTGCTTTAACCATGATCATCTATGATTCAGACTGACACATTGTGAACCCAAGAGCCCACGTGGGGTTGAAGACTAGACACCCGTGAACATTTATTTGTTTCAATTTGATCTATTAATCAAAATTCATTTAAGCTCCTGTTTGGGTCACATTATTTTTTTTATTCTTATTTTTCTATTCATTTTCAACTATGCATTTTTCAATAAAATAATATTTTTCATCACATCAATAACTTTGTCTTCTTTTTCAACCATATATTCTCCATCACATCACTTCAAAAAAAATGCATTCTCTCATTTTAATGTGTACCAAACGGGCTCTAAGCAAAACACATGGATTTGTCCGGGCTTCTTTTATGAATGAGATATTCAACTTCAATCTATTTCAATATGATCTATCAATTAAATTCATTTAAGTATAATACACGCAAGCTTCTTCGACAAATGACGGTTGAAGATCTGTTTAATAGAATTTCTACTTTTTGCAGAAGAGTTTTTTGAAAAAATTATTTTAAACCAACTTCTTCAAAAAGTTTTTTTTAAAAAAATTATTCAAATATGTTATGAAATAATTTTTTAATCTCAAAAACAACTTCTGAATTTTCAAAGATTACGTCAAATTGGTCCAAAATATTCTTTTGAGAAGCAACTTTCGGTCGACGAATCTTTTCCAAACCCAATGTTCCTTTTTTTTAATTTAATACATGTCAAAATTACTTATAATTTTTTTCTATTTAATACCATTTAATTGAACTATCGACCATTAATAAAATATTGGGATGTTAATAGTTTGTGGAGTGATCAAATTTATCAATTGTATTTCTTTTTTCATTATATTTAAGAGACGTCAATGCTTAAACCAGCCAGTCACATAAGGGCTTTGGTCTTGAAGGACTATGATTGGTCAGGTGCAATTCAACCAATCCATTATCACTGCTAGAAATTTTCAAATTATTGGGATAATTGGAGAAACAGTCCCAAAGTTTCTCTTTTTCACATACTTAACCTCAACCTTTACTTTATGCTGTTCAAGCAACATTTTTAATTTCAAGCCATTCATTTTGTTGCACTGCAAACAAATGGATAGAATTTTACCGCTAATTTACCAAGAAAATGAAAATTTGACCAAATTAAAAGAATAAAATAATAATTTTACATTTTCCTCACATTAAAATAATTAAATAAAAAGTAAAATAAACATCATCGTGATCTTCCACCCCTTCCCCGTCTAAATCTCGCCCCCACCTCANCTTCCACCCCTTCCCCGTCTAAATCTCGCCCCCACCTCAAAACCAAAATCACTGCTACCCACCACTAGAAGCGGACGCAGAAATTTAAAATTAGAGGGGTAAAATAGAACTTGCAAAAAAATTGGGAAAAATTTTACAATCGAAAATTTACTTTCAAAAAAACCATACCTTACGTAATTTTGCATTCGAAAATTTACATGGGATATGACTTTTTTGGATGTAAAATTTCAAAATTTTTTGATGTCATATTCCACATAAAATTTCATAATAAAATGATGAAAATTATATTGAGAAATTTGTATCGCAACAATAATAAATGTTAATGAAATAATTGAATTTTTTTTTAAAAAAAATGTGAGAGTTAAACGACTTTCTTTAAGACTCACGTTTAACATATTTTTAACTATTTTCGATATTCGTTTATACTATTCGATATGTTCACAATGTAATTTTCGAAATAAGTTTTGAGATGACATAAACAATATGTAGATTCGATCAGTGTACGATCGTCGAAGAATTTTTAAAATTAGTATGTTATCGAAATTCAAATTTATTGTGATATTGCCCCTATTTGGTGAAAATTAAAATCAAATTTTTAATAAATTTTGATAAAAGTTAAATTGTTATGGATTCCATGAAATATGTTATTAAAATTAATTGTTAACTTTGATTTGGATTAAAATTTAGATTTCAATCAATACGAAACATGACTTTATATTAAAAAAAAAAATCAAGGGGGGGTAGGCCCGCCCCTGCGCACCACCGCCACCCCCGTCGTGGCTGCCACTACAATCAACGGTGTATTTTGGGGAAAACATCTTCTCGACTGTTGTATTTTTCCCAAAACCAGATAAACCCTGAACCAAAATGGAACCCAAATGAAAAATATATTCTCCACTGCCAGATTACAGCTCTTGCTTAGAGCCCAAAAGCCCCGTTTGCACATCTTCTCCACTGCCAGAGGCTTAACGACTTCCGACAAAACTTCAAAACTATAGGGAATATGAACCACAACTTCACCGCCTTCAACTAAGCCTCCAAGGCTCCAACCACTGAGATATGTCATCCACCCCTCGACTCGCCAATGAAAACCCAAAAAGCAAACCCATCGATGCCTCCTGTTGAAAACCCAGAAAGCAAACCCAAAAAATGACCGAAATTTGAGTTGAGAAAGAGGTGATTTTTGTGAGTGACCTGTTGGGGGTGTAGCAGGGAAAAGGTACGGCCCCAGCCAGATTGCCTCCAGGTTTCAGATTCCATCTGACTGATGAAGAGCTTGTCAATTATTATCTCAAAAGGAAAATTCATGGCATAGAGATTGAACTTGACATCATTCCAGAAGTTGATCTTTACAAATGTGAGCCTTGGGAATTAGTAGGTTATCCCTCACTTCTCTCATAGTGCAGTATATGCAGTAATCATCTCAAAAGGAAAATTCATGGCCTACAGATTGAACTTGACATCATTTCAGAAGTTGATCGTTAAAAATGTGAGCCTTGGGAATTAGTAGGTTATCCCTCACTTCTCTCATAGTGCAGTATATGCAGTAATCATCGCTGTGTAAAGATGTTATATTAGGTGAATTGGAGTGGTTGAAAATGTACCAGGCATAGGCGAGATCTGAGAGATTTACTGTGCAAAAAACGGAGCAATTTGAATGAGTAGAAATGTGTCTGGTCATGGCCGAGAGTGATGAGATGAGCTTGAAACTTTGGGCCGTGGTTAAAACGGAGCTTGAAGCTTTCGGGGAAAATACACCGTTGATTTATGGGTTTCATAGAGCTGGATTTGATTTCTGGATTCGTATCGACGGTGTGGTGGCCGATGGGGGCGGTGGTTTTTCTGCTTTCGATTTGTTTTTTTATTTAATGTGAGCCTTTTTAATTTAATAATCAAAATATCATTTTCTTGAT